GTATGAGGCTGGCAAGACTCTGGACTAGATTTCCCAGAGAGGCTGTGGATGCCCCTCCCTGGAGGTGTTCAGGGCCAGGCTGGATGAGGCCTTGAGCGACCTGGTCTAGTTGAGAGGTGTCCCTGCCCATGGCAGGGAGGTTGAGTTTGGTGATCTCTGGGATACCTTCCAACCTAAGCCATTCTGTTTTATTACATTTCCCTGTTTTTGTCACTACATATTCAAAGTCTTGCCTTTTGAAAGGGCTTTTACTGAAGGTAACAGTATTTCTGGGAAGCTTCCCATCCTCTCTTAATCCCCTCTCAGCCTTCACAGAACTCCTCCCTCAGCGTGGGGATGTCCCCAGTGGTTGCATCACCTTCCAGAGTTGGATGCTAGAGATGGATGGTGCTGCTGGAGTTTACACAGGCAGAGGGACTGAACCTGGCTAGCAACATCACGCCTGCAGAAAACACAGTGGGATCTTTTTGGACCACAAGTGGCCATGTCTGTGGTTTTATGTTGGATCCAAGTGTATGTGACAACGTGTGGCCCCTTCGCCACACGCTCCAGCCTTGCTCAGTAATGACTCAGAGGACAATATTCTTCCCTTCTGCAACGCCCAGGATTTTTCCCCAGCTTTTCCCAACCCTAGGTTCAGGGCTCATCACACAGCCTGATGTGTGTGAGAGGCTGAAATCAGAACTTGCTGTATTTTACTAGACTCTGTTTTACTTCTAGAGACTTTTCTATGTGCTTCATCCAGCTGGTGCTATTTTTTTTCTTTCAGTGTTGATGGAAGCAGCTTCATGGAACTACCGTAAGCTGCCTCTTAGTAATGACCTATTAGTGAAGCCAACAATAACAGCACTGTCTAGACCATCTGAACACAGCTAAATTATTCCTTTGTCCCTTCATTTGCTTTCTCTTCTGACTGTTGAATTGTTTTGGGTGGTCCATGTTGACCTTCGGGCTCACTATTTCTCCCTTGCTGTTTTTTTCTTCTCGTTCAGCAGTGAGCCTGCTGTACTAAGACTGAAACTCCAGGTTCCTCTCTCCCGCACGCATGCTGGAGCCAGAGCCATGTAGCAACGTTGGAGATGTATATCTGGAGGGCAGAGGGATGTGTCATCTTGTGGCTGTTTGATTTCACTTCTTATCTAGGGCAGTTGGCACTTAGCTGAATGCCTAGAATGCTCAAAACCTGCAAGTCTTAAGTCTTACAGAACTGGAAACTTGATGAGAGAATGAAGTATTCTGGTTTTAATACAACGTCTTGCCAAATGGACCAGTATACTTGAAGAATATAAACTCAGCATTCCCATGTCTATTGTAGCTCCACTGGTCATTGCTTCCTGGGAGTGCTCTTGACTTACTACTTCTGTGTGTTCCTTTGCTGTGTGTGACTATGGATATTACCTCTGCCCCCAACCTTTGGGAAATCTATATCTTTGAGACCTGTTCTATATTGGGTGGAAAGTGGTCCTTGGTTGGATGGGCTGGCAGAGTGATTGAATGAGCTTTGTCACAGGAAGCTGATTTAAAAAGCACAAAATTGGGATGTTCGTGGGAAGCAGGGGAGAAAGACATGAGTTTCCTACTAAGGGAAATAGCTGAAAATAAAGAATGAACTGAGGATGGAAGAAGAGATGCTGAGGACAAATGGACAGTGCTAATCACAATGGATTTTTATGTTCCATTTTTGCTGTCTGTGCAATCAGCATTTCTTTGTCCTGGTCTTCCATCGTACAGAAGCATTTCTGTGTGCCCTAGTGCTGGGAGAGAGCAGGTTTCATTGTACAATTCATCCTGCCAACCTAAAATACCTTAAGTGAACTTGCACAAAAGAGTGGAAGCACAAAGCTGGGCCAGAAGGTTGTTCAGGAGGAGGGACCTGCTCGTGTTGCGCAAAGTCAGTGGCTTCCACGAGGCTCCGAGTCCATCTGAGCTCTGTGGACACTTCACTGGTGTTGTGCAACTTGCAGCTGTTTTGTTCTGGAGCCGTGGCAAAGCCTGGGAAGATGTTTGCTGTGTAGTCTCACTGTTGTCCTCTCAGAAGGCTGAAGCATAGGTAGGTCCTGCCAGTGTTGGATCAGGAGAACCCGATCTCAGGCGTCCCTTGGGCATGGGATTCCTGTTGATTCCCCAACGTTTTCCCCTGGAGAGAGCCATCCATCCTGTACCTTCTGCTTGCTTGAACCAAGCCAAAGGGAGAGCGAGCAGCCTGTGACGCCCCCGGCGCTGGAGAGGCTTGTGAGTGGCATTTGGATTTAATTATCCAGTGAGCTTCAGGGCTGGTTGGAATTCCGACTGAACTGGCTGAGCTCGCTGCTTGTTTCCATGGAAGAAAGTTCTCCACCCTTCTTGGGAGTCAGCTTGGAGACCCCAAGAGCAGTAATTAGGATGGGCAAGAGGCTTAGTCTGGAAAGCATCAGTCCCTGTGCAAAGCTGTCATGGAGAGGATTGGGAAGTGTCCGTTTTGCAACCGATGATGCAAATTGTGCTTCTGCTCTGAAGTTGCTTCAGAGTGTGGTGTGGGGGTTTTTTCACTTTGTTTTGAACACTTGAGGCTTTGGTCATAGTCCCTCGGAAACTGCAGTTCTCTTGGACTAAAAACACACTGATAAAAGGAGTTTCAAAGCTACTTAAGCACATAAAAATACATTACTTCAAGGAAATAACATATTTCTGCTTGTGCTTAAGTCATGTTCTTTTACACTCCAGCAACAGAAAACAACCTTTCCTGCTCATGTAGGAAGAAGTTTTCTGTCTTAGTTTGTAGCAGTGATCACATGGGTTTGTGGTGGTTTTTTCTTTTTTTGACATGTAACGCTTGTTTTATAATTAAAGAAAAATCTCCAATGCTCATCAAAATGCTCTTTAGCATTGATTTAGTAGATGGAGGAACAAAGATGGTGAGCTGATGGCCTAAAGACAAGAAGCATTTATCTGTTTCTCTCTTTTTTTAGTTCTAGTACCTGATTGAGGAGAGCTAGAGCCCAGCTTTACGCCACTGCTTCTAAGCTGAATAAGCTGATGGGTATTTCTGAAAATAGTCTGAATTTAAGCAATTACTGAAAGTCAGTGGATGGTTCTTGCTTTGATGTCTTGGGAGAGATGCAAAAGGATCCTTCTGGCAGGGAGGTATACCTTGACTTTCTAAGGAAATACGACTTTCATTTTTAAAAAAATCTATATTTAATAGGCTCTGAAGACTGCGTTGTAAAATGTTTTGACAAATTCATGGGTGGAGAACAACTCACAACTTAGTTCTTGCTTTGAGGGCAATGTCGTATAAGCCCAGCCTTTCCTGGGCATTGGAAACCCCTTTATGTTTAAGGAGAAGACAGAAATCCATGGGAAATTTGCCTTCTTGGCTTTGTCAGTCAGTAAACAACTTGTCATAAGTTAGTTTGAATACCCTGATGTGGTGGCCAGCAGAAGCTCCATGTGGTAGGTTAGGCAGAAAGGACATCCAGGTTTTCTGTACACCCTGCAGGGTGATTTCTAGTTGTAGCCTCTCTGTGTTTGGCAGGGTTGCTCACTTCCAGCTTCCTCCTGGTGAAATTACATTGCAGTCTCTTGTGACTGCTGTGCAGATGAGTGACAAGGCAGCCTGCCCTGAAGGAATGGTGCTGAAGCAGTGCCCCTGAATGCTCATCTCTAATGGTAACAGTGATAGGAGCCACTTCAGCTCTCTTTTTGATGTCTTCAGTGATGCCATGTGCTTATTAGACATCCTAGCAAACACATGATTCAAACTATTGCTCTCAACTGCACTGTTCATCCTTGCAAGTACCCATGGGATGTGGTGGGAGCTCTCTGGGATGTGCTCTGTGGGGTTACTGGGACAGCCCTGGGGGGCTGCCAGGTCTTTCTCTTGGGAGGAGTGGAGAAAGCATCTTCCAATCCCTCCAGCTCCAGAAAACTTTGATTTGTTTTCTTATTATTACTGTCATTGCTGTGTACTCCAGCAAACCTTGCTGTCCCTCTTTGGGACAGGTAGTGCTCAATCTTATAAATTCTGGAACATCCTTTCAGGGTACTGGTGGGTTAACTGGAGATGCATCTCCTCAGAGATGCTGCTGGGCATGTCCAGGGAGGTCTGGAGGTGGGGAGCAGTGGAGAGCTGGGTGGTTTTGCTTGCAGAAGCCCAGCTCTGCCACTGCCTGTTGAGGTCCTGTTTCCCTGTGACATTACAGGTTGTGTTTTGTGTCAGTGAGTTCAGGAAACTCTTGTTGTCATCTGGCTTGGAAAAAAGAAAGGGGTGAAGGGTATTTTAGAGATTATAGCTTTGGTGGAAAATTCCTGGAGGGCAGTGTGTGTGGGGGGGTTGATTTTGTGTGTGTGTGTGTTTTTTTGTTTTTTTTTTTCTTTTAACTTTTCCCTGCCCCTTTTCCCTTCCTCTTCTACAAAAAAAACCCCTTTTTTTTCACCCTTTTTTTTTTTTTATTTTTTCCTACTAAAAAATCTGTCTGGAAAACTTTGCTTGTCCCCAGAGGTCCCTTTTAACAAACAAAAAAAAAAAAAACCAACCCCGAAATTCCCAAACCATAGAAACATTCTTGTTGCAGGATGGTTTTTTTATTGTTGTTTTTTTCCCCTGAACTAGAGCTGAAAGTGACCTTTTTCTTGAGTGTTTTCTTGTAGCATTTTGGGTTGTGCTCCCTGCCATCCCTCCAGAAAAACATCCAGATGTTTTTAGTGGTTAGGGAAATGTGGAAGGGAAGAGGAATTGCACTTTACTTTGTTATGAATGTTAATTATGTATTTATAATATGCACAGTAGATCTGCATAATATTAGATATTTATATTGATATATAGATATGTATTTCTATTATACGATAAACATAGATATACACACATTGCTCTCAGGAAAATGTAGGTATTTTCCTAATGCCTGATGTAGGCATTGGAGCTCATTTCTGAGCTCTAAACTAGAAGTGGCACTGGATTTTAAACATTTTCCTCTATTTCTGCCTTTATTTTTTTGAGATGGCTCTGGGTGCACAGCACCCACCTGAGAAATCTGTTTTTTTGTCTTCATGGCTTCAGTCCTGATACAACCCAACAAGAAGAGCAGGGGGGAAAGAGGAGATGATGTTGTATTTGAGCATGATTATCCTGGACATAGACCTCCCTGGGGAGAGAATCTCAGTATTTGAGCCCTATCCTGTCTGATTTATTATAGTTTTTGTTCTCTTTCACATCTTTGCAGACTTTGAGTGAAATCTGCAGACTGGCTTGGCATAGGGGTGGCCCCATCCCTGCAGACACTGTTCTACACAAAGTACAGTAGCTATATTTATATTTTTACAGTGATAGCTCCATGTGCCTAATATCTGCCTGGCTTGACTGCATCATGAACGTGGAGTATGGAATGGGTCCCCACACCCTGCTAGCAAGTATGCCATGCCCTAGGTCTCCATAGGGTTGTTAGTGCTTGTGGTTGGTATTTTGCAGTGTAATATCTTACAGCTGCTTTAAGAGACCACAACCATAGATGTAGAAGTGTTGAAAAGGAGGAGATTAGTTTCAGATAGGGTGGATCCATCAAAGTTCTCTAGTTACTGCAAAAACCAGGAATACCACACAGGCTCTCAGTGAGTGTGTGTCTCTCCTGTCCAGCATAGTTAAGTTTGTTACCTCTTCTGATGAGTTGCTTGCCCTTCCCCATGGTATCTCTCTGGCTTTATTTTCAAACATCACATGTGGCTCTTGAGCATCTTAATGAAGAATGAGGAAAGGAGGAGGTGAACTGTTGTAACTCCATCACCTGCTGCTTGAACTTTCTGGATCCTGAAGGGTTTCTGTCCTGTGAAGCACCACCTTATACCTCACAAACTGGATCCAGCCCCAGTGTATCTGGTCTGTGGCTCCCTCTCAAAACAAGGACCCCATGGGCAGCTGACATAGGCTATGAGCTGGAGGAGCAGTGATTACCTACAATCAGCCACTGGCTTTTCTGAGGATCTGCCTTGGCTGTGATGAGGACACCTGCATTTCCAAGACACGGTGGGCTGGGAGGGGCTGTGATGTTGTCACTGAACACCTCTCTTAGTAGGAAGGCTAGACACTCTGTCTTTTGATCCATTTGGGTTGAAAGATTGTATGTGCAGTGCTGTGTTTTGACTCTGCACTTCCAGGGGGGAGGTTGCCTTCCATGCTTCAGTTGTGTCCCCTTCTTTTGCAGATGAAGAAGAAGCTCTGAACTCTATTATGAAGGATTTGGCAGCGTTGGGCAAATGCGGGGGGCTGCTGGACAACAACAGGAATAAAAACAGTGTCCACTCCAGCAAACAGGTAAGGCACTGCTTGAGTGCATCCCAAACTCCAGCAGACCAAATGGGTGGGAGTGATGCTTTCCATGCTGGGAGAACAGAGTTTAGATGTTGGAACAGAAGTTAACAAGTGCTGCAGGAGCTCAGCACATCATAAATAACTTTTCTTTCTAAGGCATAAGCTTTAGGAACTCTTTCTGAAGAGATGAAAAGAAGCTACAGGCATCCCCATATCACAGAGGAGAAGAGTGATACCCCAAATTATTCACAAATATAGCAATAGAGCCTGAAACTGGTTTTAAATCTCAGATCCCACCCCAGGGCTCTTCTTTCTCTCCCTTAGCCCTGAAAGTAGAGGAATGTGTTACAGGCTGTGCAGCTTTCAGATTTGGATTAGTCCAATATTTTCTATTGACAGCGTTGATGAAATACAACATTTATTTTGCACATTTTACTTCAGATATTTGAAAGACAGGCTGCCAACTTTGAGCTGTAGACACCCAAGGTCTTTTGGGAGGAATAATGTCATTCTTATATAAAGCGTTTAAATATTAATTACTGGTGTTTATGCTCCTAAACCCAAACATTTTGGCCCTGTTGCACATTCAGAGTTGATTTGGTGAGCAAAAACATCGTCCCTTGAGCAACGTCAGAAATGATTCGCTGACATTGGCATAATAGCTAAAGTGGATTTGAATAGCCTGTTTGCCTATGGAACAAATATTTTGCAAACACAAATATTGTGAAGAAAGAATTCAGTTGTCAAAATAGCAAGAAAAAAAGAAGAGGAAAAATAGGGGACCTGGAAAAGCATGTGAGCAAATCCACTTGGAATTCCACTGCTAGTGCTATGGCTTACAACAGGCTTGCCATCAACTCTGCAATTGCTGAAAGCCTAGCAAGGAGGAAAACAAATTGTCATTTACTGTCGTCACGCATATTTCAATGGCACTTGTGCTACTAACAAAGAATTCTGGATGCAGAGGGGAAAAATCCTCTCCCAAATCCCTCTGGACTTCCTAGACACATGCAGACGAAAACACGTGCGCACGTAGCGTGTCTGGTTGAAAGTGTGTCCTGGCCACAGCAGCTGTCCAAGTTGAATCACTGGATTTGTGTTCAGCTCATGCTGAAGCCAGTCCAAGATGTTCACAAAACTGACAGGAGAAATTCAGAGCTGGCTCTCTGCAGCTGGAGGCAAAGCAGAAAAAGCACAACTTGGATGGCTCTGAGGGCAGCGTTTGCTGCAAGTTGCTGGGTGGGGACCATACCAAGCCATCTCCAGTTGCTTGCAGGATAGCAAAGCTTTTTAGACTTCTCTTAAATCATGTTTGTTTTCTCATAACAGGGGAAAATCCCTGCCTGTCACTTTTGAAAGCTCTTGCTGTAAATGCTGCAGACACAGAGTGAGTTGAAAATAATAGTTTTCATTGGTTAAATTCTTACCTACAGAAGCCTCATAAAGTTGAGGTCTTACAATCAAATTCATATCCACAGCCCATCCACTCTATATCTTCATTTATAAATCACCAAGAGAGTTTTGTTGTGCTCTGATACCAGCTTTAGAATTGTTGGCTGCCACTTGGCATTTAATTTTATTATATTAGACATCAGACTTCCCTCCCCAAGCACAACACTGGTGCTCAGAAGAACGTTGCCTCCTTTAGGATCTGTCTTTTTATCCGAAAGTGGCCCGGCCATAGTTGTGTGATCATTGTTGCTCAGAGCAAACAGTCAGCATCCCACTCTCCTTGTGCATCCGGGGCTGAGGAGTCAGACCAGCAGGCCCCACGAGATGAAGGGCGTTGGAGCATGTTGAATTCTTGCTTCACTAAATTGGACTAGCTGGAGCAAGTCTGGCTCACGGGACGACAGGAGTCTAGTCTGCGAGGTGGGGAGTGGCTGAAGGAGGTGGATTCAGTGGGGCCTTGGTCCATGTTTGCAGCTCAGAAACTTTTAATTGGCTTGTTTGGGTCACTTTCAGGGTTTTTTTTCCTTGTTTTTTTTAGCACAGGAATTGATGGGGGGGAAAAGATTGCTTTGGAAGTGCTGTTGGCATGCCTGTGATTTGTTGTTCGTTTGGTACTTGGTGTTCTGTTTTTTTATTTTTTTAATATCTTTTTTCTGTGGTCAGGATGGCTGGTTGGGCAGAAGGATGCACTGCACAGTCTTTCTTCTTGGAGAGGGAGAATGAGGCATATGAGACATTTAGAAGCTAAGCTTTCCTCTTGGGAATCTCGTTGTAGGTGTCTCTTACAAGGCCCTGCAGCAACATGCTCACACTGAAATACTTGGGTCTGGATGTTCAATTGTTAGATTAAAAAAAATGTATTTTTTTATTCTGTGGAAGAATGCTTTTCCAAGGCATGGGAATCCTTTAGTCAGTGTTCCAAATTTCCACTGAAAAACACTTCAGAGAATAATGTGTTGTCTAACTAGCCTGTCTCTTTGTAGCTTGCAGCAGTTCTTTGGTCCACAGAGAAATGCAACCAAAGTGGTATCTCAGCCCTGTCTCCTGGAGGGGTTCCTTAGTGCTCTCTTGACACAACTTAAAATTTGGAGCCTGACAGGGACTATTCCTGGGCCACACAAGAAAGTAGTCTGGTGATATGTGCTACGCAGTATTTCTTCCCGAAAATATTGACAGTTTTGCTTCAGATCAGCTTATGAAATGAGAATACTTTGGCAAATTGCATAAAAATCTCTTTTTTTTTTAGTTTTATTTCCTTACAAATGAGTTTAGGACTAAGGCTGAGTTTCTGGATGTCTAATGCCTCATGGTGGGAGAAGCTGGAGATGAGAACAGCAGTACTTGATGCACGGTGTGGATGAATTCCCTCCCTTAGGTTGCCCAGGCAGCTGGCAGCAGATGAGATGTCTGAGCTTGAATCTCCTGAGTCTTGGTCTAGTGTGTCAGCCACTATGTAACACTGCCTTTCTGCCTGTGAGAAAACAGGGCAGAGGGCTAGAGATGGACACCCTCTTCCTTCCACATCTGAGTCAGTCTTTAAAAGGGACCTGTTCTTTGGGAACAGAGGGATCATCCTGACACTATTCCGAGTGCATGCTCTCCACTGTTATTTCCCCGTTATTCCTTTAATCACTCCCTTATTCCTCACGCATCCTCTGCCATGGCTGGAAGGAGTCCTTTCAGCCTGTCTCCTGGACTGAACACACAAAGGAATTTGTTTATAGCAGTGGCTGTGAAGAGGGGAATGAGGAACCAGCAGAGTAAAGATCTGTGTTGTGATCACTAAGGAAAAAGATCAGTGGGATAAGAAGGGAAACCACAAAGAATTAGAAATCCCAAACAAAAGCACGGAGGAGAAAGGAGCAATTATATTAACATTTATTTTGCATCTGTCTATTTATGTGTACATCCTTTTATTTGTATAAATAGCCCTTGGTAACTGCTGGTTGGAGGCTGGCTGTCAGTGCTGCACTTGGGTCTAGTGACGAGGTGTTGGCGTGGGCCCCGTCACAGCCCCTGGCAGGCAGCAGTTCTTTGCCACCTTCATTCTGATTGCAACTTCTCCCCTGACAATAAAGTCCAATATTTGTGAGGAACGCTTTCTCATGCACAGCAAATGTCAGACTGACCTAAAAGTTGTTCTTTTAGTAAATTACCTCTGGGCTTCCTTTTTTCTCTGGCAAGTTGGATGCAGGACGAGGCGTGCTCATAACTAGAATAAAATACAGCTCGTGTTCCAAGGCTCTCTGTTTGCAGGTCTTCTAGCAGCCTAAAAGGAGCTTGGCTTTATCACCTCTGTTTTACCATTGGGGGAATATGTTGGCGGTCCATAAATATCACCCTGAAGATGGGAGTGTCTGTGAGGAGGTCTGCAGGGATTGCCCCACCTTGGGGGCAGAAGCAAGGGACCATGAGGGCAGCAGCACTGGCTGGGAAAGCCTTGGCTGTGGGTGGCAAAGACAGTGGAGTCCCAAGGATTTGGGGAAGAGGCTTTCCCTTGTGTGTGTGTGTAGCTGACTTGGGTGCTAAGAGGGTAATACCAAGGAAAAATCCATCTGGAAAAAAGCTATTCCCTGCCAGGTAGGTGGTTTTGGGTAAACATTTTGAAGCCTGTGATTGCTGCTGCTGTATAAACCAAAAATACCTGTAACAGGGAGCACTGAACCCTCTAGACATGATCTTTCTACTGGCATCTGAGCCACTCATGTGCTG